TATTATTATTAATGATATCATTCGTAGATAGCACGCCTGAATTGCGATAAACAATTCTACTTGCTCTTCTTTGTAAACGTTCCAACTCATCTTGATTTCCCTGCCCACACTCATGAAACACAATGTCACAGTAATCCAGCACTGGAAGCACCATAACCTTGTATACACGATTTGCAGACTCGACAGTTAGCAATGGCCTAATTCTTGAAAACAACCATGCAAGCATTTTAGAAACGTTCTTTTTCACGCACTGTATATGTTCGTTAAACGACAGAGTGCTGTCAAGCACAACACCAAGATATTTGAAAGTTTCAGTACGTTTAATAGAATTTCCATCAATTTCCAGGCTAAATTCATCACTATTTTGACGCATAAGCCGTTGACGAGTGCCAAAGATCATAAATTCTGTTTTCTTCTCGTTTAGAAAACAGAAAATTCTTGAGTTCTACGTGACAAGTAGCTCTTAAACCATTCCAGTGACTTTTCTTTTATGCCAAACCTACTAAGCTTCGAGATGAGTGCACGGTGTGGGACAGTATCAAACGCCTTTCTTAGATCAATAAACAAGGCTCCAGTCATTTGCCCTGCTTCAGTGTTTCTCCTTATGCTATCAGAGAAAAACGTAACGGCCGTCTGAGTTGAGTGATACTTCCTGAATCCAGATTGAACAGAACTGAGAAGATTATGCTGCGTTAGATATTGTTGTAGTTGCACGTTAACGGCCGTTTCAGCTATTTTAGAAATTACAGGCAAGATGGAAATCGGCCTATAATTATCCATATCTTCACGACACCCAGATTTATATAAGGGGATAACTTTAGCTTGTTTCCATTCATCCGGCATAGACCCGACACTCAAGGAAAGATTTACAAGATATGTAACGGAATTAGCAATAATAGAAACACCGTCCTTGAGCATGCAAGATGGTATCTGATCTAGTCCCGTTGCCTTGTTTACTTTTAACTTCGTTGGCTGCCTATAAATAAAAGAGTACGAGACAGGATGAAAAACAAATCTACCATCAGTAAAATCATCATCAGAGCCCAAGATGTTATCCATTGGCTGAACGCTCTCCATTAATCGTGACGCAGCTGTTGTGAAAAAACTGTTAAAATTTTCACCAATAGTCCGTTTATCAGTTACCAGGCCCTCGCTCGTCTTCATACAGTCTGGAACAGTTGAATTCCCTTTCTTATTGGGGAAAACCCGCTTTATTGTCTTCCAAAAGGCAGTTGGATTACCAAGGTTGTTGTCAAATTCTTTACGATGAAAACGCCGTTTCTGACTTTTAATCTTATTGGAAACGTAGTTACGTGCCTGCCGATAAGCACTCCAATCAACTTCTGCATGAGTTTTACTAGCCTTTCTTAAATGGAAATCTCGTTTATTCATCAGATCTTTTATTTCTCGTGTGAGCCATGCAGGGACATCTTATACCTCTCACTAACTTCTTGCGACGGGGAGCATGTTTATCACATACGTTCGAGAAAATGTTTTTCCATTTTAACCAAGCATCGTTTACATCATCTGTTTAAAAAACACTGTCCCAGTTACAAGCTGCTAGGTCATCACAATAAGCCGGTGAATTATAACAAATTAGATTTAAAATTTGTAGAAAAGTGCCTGTTTTTCACACCAAAATAAGAAAAAAACGCACAAAAGTTACAAAATTTATTCATCAACATACCACTTCGAACATCAGATTATCTTGAAAAAGCAAGATAACAGTAGTTCGAAAGTTTTCAAATGTACATCATCTTGAAACAGCGGCCCAACGACAGTTAGGGAAAATGTTTATCTGGTTAAGCAGCAGGATATATATAGATCATCCCGAAACAGCAGGACAACTTACGGCAGTTAGGAAAAATATTTTCTGTACTGTATATAGATTATCTCCAAGTTAGGAAAAATGTATATTTGTATTTGTTTACTTGTATTAAAATTCGCGCAGTACTGCAGGAATTCGCGCAGAGCTGGGTGCGCAAATTTTAGTACTGCGGGAAATCCGCACGAAAAGCTTTGTGGTGTAATATGAGACACTCATTGTTAGTAAATAATGCAAATCAGTTGATATATTAACGCATATGTGAGTGCCTCATTGGAGGAGCTACAACAAAAAGAGGATCCATTCGAACCCTAGCTAAAATATTGTTTGACTCACAAAGTATAATGTAAGGCAATACCATGTATGAACCTAATATAATATATGGGAATGCTAATAAAAATTAGTTATTCTTATTGTATTAGGCAAATGAAAACCATCAAAACTTTTAGTTCTTGTTGGTATTTTGAAGTTTGAACTTACGCTTTACTGTTATCATGAATTTTGTTTTGACAAATATTGAAGTATTTGTTGTTATAGTTCTATTAAACGCGAACAAGTCTCGCGAAATTAGAATGCGCGAATTTAAAGCTGCACGAAAATGAGTACGACGCGAATTTTAATACAAGTAAGGTATACATTACATGGATTTGAAACACCTAACCATATATTTTATGATACATTATCCCAGGAAGCAGGCTCAGCTGTTGTAATTCTAAACTCTGTTAGTATA